GAGGCTCACTTAACTGAGCATCTATGGTATCTTAATGGTTAGCTACTCTGAACTGTGAGACACGCAAGCCTTCTGGATGCTTGCTGATGAGCCGATCCCAGTAATTATAGAACTGGAGTTGCTGGGAATCACCTCAGTTCATGCATGGGGGAATGCGCAGAGGTGACAGATTTCTGGAGTCTCGCCCTGGATCAGAATTCATGTAAACACTCCGGTGGGAGTTGCTGCAGATCAGGCAGCACTCGGGTGTCATAGCATGGGAGACTGACAACATGCAAAGCTAATAATAACTCCAGTTTCGACTGTTGTGACTGAAGTTACCTGCAGAAACGGAGAGCTGAGCTGCTCGCCAGAGTTTAGGTTTGATGTGCACATCTGTGATCAGTGCAGGTTGGTCCCTCAGCAGCTCCAAGCTCATAACACACCGTGCCATAAATCAATCAGTAAATCAATACGCAGCAGCCGCTGAGTTTCACGCTGGGACAAAATGTGTGAAGCAAGTCTCGAATGTGTCACATATGATGTGGTGCAGAGATGCTATTTTATATCTAAAATCGCTCCCCAAAAAAGAGCGCTGAGCCTATGGTTTGAACTCTAAATACATCTATCCGTTTTTAGCAGCGTCTTATGCTAGTCTCGTGCTACTGCTGGGCAATACTGCTGTGTTTTGTTTTTGTTTTTAAAAAAAGGAGATCCATAAAATCTATAAGTACTTACCTTGTTTTTCATTATTAGGGAAGACATCATTTCTCCATTGATATATTGGATATTTTAATGCAACAGCTCTCACCCTAATTGAGACAAAATATAGTGTTTAGTATCGTTTCACAGCATAAGCAAGTCAGAGCTACATACGCCTCATTGTAGTTTGGAGTGAATGGTTGAAAATCTGCTTTTCTGCTCGCTGGGTAACAAGATGCACTTCCTTTTTTTCTGTTTTTTTTTTTGTCACAGTGAAATTGCTGCCTTGTAAGCAGAAAATAGGCCTTTCCTCTCACTTGTTTGTAGCTTGTTGTGTTTTATCTACGAGTAAAAGTGTTGGGATTTAACCAGCTTGGGGACGTTTGTGTCAGGAGACAAAGTGATGTGTTTTGAGTGTGCGTGCCTCCTCGGTTTGTCGTAGGTAGTATCTAGAGAGAGCAGCTGTCGTCCTCAGTGGCAATCTAATCAACAGAAATAGATGGACCCCCCCCTCGACCCACCCCTTCCCTTTCTGTGGGTGGCAGGCCGGGTAGTGCAGAGAGGTCACAGCAACCTCATTGAGAAACGCCTCATATATCGTGCCGCATTAATGAGAAGAAACATTTGTCATAGTTTCAGTTGCAGTAATATCTGTCTGTGGAAATTAATATGGTGTGGTTTTGGCCTTACATTGGGGCTATCATTGTTTTTTTTTGGATTTGTGTCCTCTTTTATATTGATTTATGTGCAGCACGTCTGAAACCTTGGTGGGTTAATGAGTCATCTGGCCCCAAACAAATAGAAGGGAGTTAATTGTTCAAGCAATAGCCTGCACTTTGTTTCCCGCAGCTGATTTTTGGCGAGGGCTGGACTTGTTATTTTGTTTAGTATTTTGTTTGAGTGTTAATATACAGTGTAATTCTTGCAAAAAAAAAGAAGGTCGGGGGATTGAGCAATATAAGCGTATTATTCTGTAACTGTATTACTGCAGTTTGAATTCGCTGCCAGGGTGAGTCAGTTTGGTTGCTTGGCAGAGAACTTGCTTCATTGAAAATCACACATCACAGCACCAACAGTTCAACAAATACGCTTCCTCCTCCACACTAACAGACCAGAGGAGACTCTCTTGGCAGTTCATGGACACTTTTTATAGGCACTGGAGTCATGAATATAGGCTCCTCCTATGAGTTAATGTGGTGTGCCTGACCTGTCACAGATAAGGAAGAGGCAATAATCCCTCTGCAGCATGCTATCTTGGTACCAAGGTCCATTCCTATCTTCATGTTGAGGACACTGTGTTTGCAGCTGTGATATTGCTCTTTGCTAAATGTTTTTAGTGGTCGTTCCTACAAGTGTGACCACTTGCAGACATTGGGCTCCTAAGTGGTAATAATACTCAGTTGCGATTTATGTTGAAAAGACTTGTGTCAAACACGGTTATGAACAGTGGAGAGTTTCTTTCATTAACTGTCCTCCGCAGCCCTTTCTATAATTAAATCTGCTTGTTTACTGCCGTAGAAGCTGAGAGCTGGAGGGGAGGAAAAAAAATGGGATCGGTGCTGGTTATCATAGCAGCTTGGCAAGGATGCGTTATGCTTGAGCTTGACTAGTCCTGATACTCTGCAAGTGTGCGCAAGCTGACTTTTTCGTTCTTCTTTCATAGAATGTATTCATCGAAGAGACACTACAGATTTAATTTCCTAAAGTTTTCCTTGTGTAACGATATATGATGCACAACTGTACGTATGTCATTAAAGAATTACTGCAATACAGAGGTGTCTAGGTATTGCAGTATTAGGGAAGTAGATTACTGTGGGTAAGGTGTTGATGAGTTAATGTTGCATTTACTGGGCTGTTGGTTGGCAGATTGGTTAGTTGTGTCAGCGCACACTGCCAGGTACACGGGTGTTCCCTGTGTGCAGCTGGCATGCTGTCCTTCTGACTCTGTGTGTTTCCTTCCTCTGTCCAGAAACACACAGGTTGGGTAAAATGCGCTGTGATTATTGTGTGAATGTGATGGCTGTGTTTTAAGGTGTCACCTGTCCTACAAAATCCTTAGAAATGGTCGAACTTTGTGCGGCTCCGAGCAAGAGTGCGTTAAGAGGTTAAGGGATGTGAAAATACTGATGCCACTCTCAGGTGGTAAACAACATTATGTCGTTTTCACACTTTGGTTTGTGTACAATTGTTAGATGCTAGTGGGCGGATTTTGTTAGCTTTAGTGAGAGCCAGGTTCCCATATAGTTACAGAAAAATTGCAAGTTTTGGCTCTTTGTAACAGATCAGGTGTTTAAGGTAAAGACATTAGAAGCACTCATTGACGTTTTTTATTTTGGTTTTTATTATGTGCATGCACTTTTTTTCATTTTCAGTACAGTTTAGCACATCATCTTTGGTTCCTGTTTTATTTTGAACGGCTCTACATTTCAAACGTAACGGTGACAGTGGGTGCATTTCACACCTGACCTTTTTCTGTTGTTACTGCTTAGTGTGGAAGTCTTAGAGCTGGTTGGAGCTGCCAATATGTAACGTGTCCGCATCTGTGGGTAAAAAACGCGTAGTTAATATTTGTTGTGGGCAAAGTCGGTGCACTCTCAGTGTTTTTTGTACAATTTTATCTCCACCTAATCGTTCCTTAGTGCTGGGAGGCACAAAATATTGGAGTGCGCATTTTGAAGGTGAAAGTATTTTAGTCATTGCAGTCTACTGTGACTCTTTCATACACTTGCCCACACACACACTTCTGCTGCTATTTTCTGCTTTCCAAAAACGTCCTCACACTCCTGTTTAGTAACTCACAAAGCTAAGATATGTATTGTTGAAGTAATCGTTTCCTATATATGTTTATCAGTCACATCGTTGTTGTGGCCCATTCTTGTCTACAGCTTTGCTTCAATTCATTGAGCTCTCTTGAAGTCCCAACACAGCATTTCAACCAGTTTCAGCTGGCCATTGTAACACCTTGAGTCTTTTCTCTTTCAGTCATTCTGTTTTCGATCTGCTGGGGATCATTGTCCTTATTTCAAACATACTTTAGCTGTCAGACAGATGGCCTCAATTTTCACTATAGAATATAGAGGAGCTTTGAGCTGTTGAGCAGTCCTGTGACTGCAAAACAAGCCCAAATCATCATGTGTCCACCACACTTAGTATGTGTGAGGCTTTTGTGTTGAAATGCTGTTTCGTTTTCACTCATCATGGTGCTGTGCGTTGTCCAAACATCTCCTCTTTTGCCTTTGTTCAGATGTAACTTTGCAAAAATAAGCTGTGCCGCCATGTTCATTTTAGAGGAAAGAGGCATTCTTTTGGCAACATGTTCTGTTTTTTCTAATTGTACTGTCATGAGCTTTAAGATTTAACATGCTAACTGAAGCCTGTAGACTCTGACATGTAGCTCCTAGGTTTATTTTTATTTTTATTTTTTACAATTTATAAAGCATTACATGATCTGACCTTGGGGTAAATCTGCTGGGATGTCCCCCTTTGGGAAGATTTTGGCATCGTGTAACACACACTTGAATGCTACAGACTAGCAAACTGCTAAAATGTCTCATGTTCTCACTTGCTAATGATGAGTTACCCCTGCAAAGCATGAAACATAAAATAACTGCCAGAAAATTCAAATGACTTCATTTGTATAGTTTTTGCTACAGCCAGCATTTTCCCAAATATGGTACACTTGGGGTTACAGGTTTAATCAGTTGCATTTGATTATTAGCACCTGGGTGCTACTTACCCTCTTAATTGGAGAAGCAGTAAGATTGTGCTTCTTTTTTGACTTGCCTGTGTTTACCAATATGTGCACTGAAAACCTGCCTTTTCCCTCCCAACCATCGCACAGAGATCACATTCCCAAATATCAAATCTAGCGTATTTTACACTTTTCCTCAAATATAATAATAGTCAACTTGTGCACAACCTAAGAAGTAGAAAACTAACTCGCTGCTAATGCTGGTTTAGATTTGGTAAGCGCGTTTACCTCTAGGTGTCAGCAACAGCAGCAGAGACTTTCTCACACACATGCAGTCTATATGCATACAGTAAGTGCAACACAAAGTTTCACATCATGTTTCTTGCACACATAACCGCCTCATTTCACCGTGTGTTTGAATGTTTGCCACAAAGAGGAAATATCCCCCACATTTCAACGAGCAGAAAATAAAACCTGCTCCTTCAAAACCTCATTGTAGCTCACAGTAATGCACTACTGATCACGACGGTGGATGTTTTCGTGGGGGGTTGGATTTTGATCATCCCCGCTCTGATGATGATGTCTCCTATTTTGACATTTGTGTCTGTTTGTGGCTTTTCTTCAGCAGGACGTACTGTCTGCTCCTTTCCCCCATCAGACTGTCAGGAGAGCACATGGCCTACGGTCAGCAACCCACTCCACACTCTTCACCCAGCCTACCAATGCCCTGTCTCCACAGGTTAGTGTGTCCGCGTGCATGTGCATCTGTATTATAAAGGAAATGAAAACAATAGATTGTCTTATTGATTTCTGGGCCACTTGGCCTCAAGAGGAAATCCATAGTTAGTTGTGTCTGGCTCATTGATGTGGGCAGCCTTTGACAGCAGCTGGGTTTAGCGTTGTCAGCACTTCCTGACACATTCATCACCTATTGCACTTGTCATTTGTAAAGGTCGGTCAGGGAATGGTTGTATTATTATGCAACTGAGACCTCAGATTGTTGTAGGTATTGAATCGATATTGGCTGGCTGAATATTGCCAGTCATTGTAACTTGCGTCACCCAACCTTGAGAAACTACTAGCTCTCCTTTAGTAAAACTTTAATATCAGCTCTTAGTTTAGTTTTTAGTGACCATGTAAATGCTGATAGAATAAAATCTTGTGCTAAACACCTGATTTAGCACAGCATCCCTTTTTTTTTTTTTAGTCTAGATCGACATGCATGATAATTACTGTTCCCATCAAGTCTCAGTCGTTCACTGCTCGTTACTCTCTGGATTAGGAGTTATCAGTTCTTTCATTTTACCTGCGTCTCCTTGATGTCAAGACTAAACAACCCTCTTCATCTTTCAAAGGCTTCTCCATTAAAAAGCTCTTATTTTGGGAGAAGCCTTTGAAGGCTGATTAGATCATTGGACATCAGGTTTTCTAAAAACGGTCACCAAAAAAAAAAATATTCAAATGGTTTCACCAGTGGAAGCCCACCATTCAAAACAACCTCCCCACAGTGGTTTTTACCCTCTGATTCAGTGTTGTTGACAGCAGCAGCGTGAGCTGCCGCACGAAGCCGGTTTTCCTATCAAACCTTATTACGCCCTGCATATCATTATCCTGACAAGTATGCATTTAGATTATAAACAGCACCGAGACTTTTCCAAATGGGGAGTGCCACATCAAAGAGGAGAACGGGCAAACAATGTCGGTGACATTTGACTTTGATGTGAAATCATCAAAAAACTTTTCACCAGTTTCGTGCTACAACTACGGAAACTTAAACTCGATGGTTATGTTTGTGTGCACGGTAATACTGCAAACAGTGGTTAGAGCTTCACTGCAGATGGAGATTTTACTTGAAAACTTCAGTCACTACTACCCAACTTGCCTGTCCTCTCATGTTTTCCTACCTGAAGGCTGCTCGGGTTGTTGTTGTGGCAGTCCTCTATGCGATTCAATCCCCTCTGTAGAGAATCTTTTGTTCTTCAGGCGCAGTTCAACTCCATCATCTGGGACTGCAGCTGGTGACAGTTTTCCTTGTTCTGCTCTGCTGCCTCTGTGTTTCAGTGACCCTCCTGCTCAGAGCAGAGAACAGAACAAGGACTAAAGTTGCCAGCTGATGTCCAAGTTGGTGGACATGGAGTCCATCTATGGCACGAGGCTCAATGCAGACGAGGGATTGAGATGTCAAGCAACAATACTATACAGTATTTACTGGGGGGAACTGTTCACATTTCCTTTGAAGATTGCTGTCTGCTTTCAAACATCATAGTTGTGCTCGGCTTGTGATATACTATCATGACCTGGAAGTTTGAGCGGTATCTTGTTTTTGCTTTCAGCCCATTGTCCGTTGTAGTTTTTGGCTTTGCCTGTTTTTCCTGTGCAGTTCCTTTTAATTTCCCCACATCACACACGTTCTACCAGAGTGTGGGAATCATGGTGTTAACTGTTGATAGGAAAACTTGTGTCGGCTTTACCAGCTAATCAGGAAATGAACATTCTGAATACTTTGTCTGTAAAATAGCATTGGTGCATAGCTCTTTAGTCATAATGAGGAATGGGTCTATTGTCATTCAGAGTCGTTTTTAGAGAAAAATAACAGCACTGTCCAAATATCTCAACTTCACACAACACAAATGCAGGATGTAGATATTTAATCAGCTGGGACTTTGGTCATTAAGTTAAAGTGACAGGATTTGTATCCAGGCAACCATATGCCGTATGTGTTCAGTTAAGTCCGTTGGGAAAATTATGATTCACATCTCAGATTGTGATCCCACACAGATTTAAAGTTAAGTTCTCAAAATGTCTAATACTCCTGTGGAGGCCTTTTCTTTTCTTTTCTTTTCTTTTCTTTTCTTTTCTTTTCTTTTCTTCAGCACAGTTCAATAGTCCTAAACTTTACTTGCTTATGTTTGAATCAGCTAAGCTGTCTGGTATTTTGAGCGTTACAAGATAACAAACTTAATCTGAAAGAAATTGAATGAGTCTGTTATAGTTTATGTCTGTTGCTGGGCTCAGTAGCGTGATATCAATACCAGATGAATTTCTTCCTCAGTTACAAATTTGATAGACTGTTTGCTATCTGTTTATTGAACCATACTGCAGGGGGGAAAAAGACACAATGATACAAGTGAAACTTTTGTTGGATAGCTCGAACTCTGCGGCATTTAAAGTCAGAGGTTTTGGATGTAATCTGCAGCACTTCAGTGAGTTGTTGTCTGAAAAGTGCAAATGCTAAATCTAAAATCTGCCCAAGATAATTATTCATCAGTTCATGTTGTAACGATTTGGTGTATTCAATGTGGCTATGTACACATGGATCTCTCTCTGGGGGCTTCCCATGATGCACTGAGTGTTTCTTCTTCACTCACAGTGTTTATTCAGCTCTCTGCATGTAATCATTATTATTGTTATTAATCTCTGGCTCTCTTCCACAGTGTGTCTTTTGTCCCGTCTTCCTCCCCTCACTCCCATCTGGTCATGGCAGATGGCTGCCTCTCCCTGACCCTGCTTCTGCTGCGGGTTTCTTCCTGTTAAAAGGGTGTTTTTCTTTCCCACTGTTGCCAAGTGCTTGCACAATAGGCGGGAGGGGAGGGGGGGTCACCTGATTGTTGAGGTTTTCCCTGTATTGTTATAGGGTCTTTATCTTACAATATAAACCTCCTTGAGGTGACTGCTGTTGTGATTTGGAGCTATATAAATAAATTACAATTAAATTGAATTGAATTAAAATATAACAGTCCTTAGATCTGACAGAGTGACCTTTCAACTTTGCTATTTTGTCCTTCGACTCATCTCCAACTCCTTGCACTTGGTCTTCCTGTGACTAAGATCCAGGAAGAATCCAATAAAACAGATACATTATGGAAAAATGATCATTTCAAAGTTAAGCGTCCGTTTTTTTTTTTCACCAGGAAATACTCTTGACCCTGCGACGTTATCCTTGCATGGAATAAAACTTTTATGATGAGAACACGATATTTATCCCTTGAGTGCTTGTAATCCTTGTGCAACAAATAGCAGCGCATTAGCTCGTCTCCCCCTCTTTTCTGCGTGTGTTTATGCTGTTACTTGGAGCAAATGTATGTTCAGTGTGCTTTGTTTGTGCTCTGTGCTTATGTGTCACTGGTCTTTATGAAATGAAGAAGGGTGGGCATGGATTTGCACAAGGTGGGGGTGGCTGTACAATGAAAACCGAGCCGAGGCTTTCTCTTGGAGTCCTGTTTACATTTTGCTGCAATGGGCCACTTGAAAAGGCATCGGGTGGAGTGATGTTAAATGAGAGCAGTGCACAGTACACACAACTTGCCTTGCCTGAAAGTAACAGCTTTAGCAGCGGGCTGTATTAGCAAGTTCACTGTAGAATGACGCAACAGAGCTCACAGGAAGCCCGTTCCCAAGCGTCCCTTTCCCTGCCATGTACCCTCAAGAGAGACAGCTGTTTGTTCAGAGGGCAGGGGAGGGAGGAGACATGGACGGCCCAGCAGGGAGTGTTTGCCTTGCTACGGCCTGTTGTCTCTGCGAGGTAGAGCCGGGGATGATACTGCCTGAGCCGTAGTAAAACAAGGAAACATCAGCAAAACAGAGATGCTGTAAAGAAGCACAAGAAATCAGGCTGCATAAACTTGTTAGCTTTGATAACACTGGCTCTAAAAGTGCCTGCTTGCACTGTCTGCCGTTTGTATATAGCACTGTTATCAGTCAACACCCCCCCCCCCCCCCCCCCTTTCATCTCATTGACACCCTTCTCCCTCGCTCCTGCATTGCTGCAGTACAGGCACTTGTCTCCTCCTTGGCTAAGCCAGCCCTCTCTCTCTCTTTCCCTCCCCTTGTCTCCAACCTTTCCTCCCTCCCCTCCTCGCTCTGCCGTTCTTTGGCATCCTTCAGTTTAGCTGCAGCTTCCCACAAGGCCCTGATGGGTCAAAGCTACACAGACGCGCACACACAAAGCAGTTTACAGCAGCGCCATTCACGCACGGACCTCTCGATCCATCTGCGACTCGGCTCCTGCGGAAGGCAGCCGTGATAGTTTTAACAAAGTTGTCAAATGTCAAGCAGACACGTGAAGAGAGAAATCTAAAAGGGCGGGTGTCGTGGAGGGGGGCACAACAAGTTGCTGTCTCCTCACTTGAGCCTTGCCAGTTCAGCTCATGAGTTCAAAACTGCAGGGCACGCGAGTGGATGGATAAAAGATGGAAGCAGAAAAGGTTCGGGGGGTGGGAGGAAGGCAGCAATCATCAGGATGGCAGCTGGTAAAGGTGTAGCATACGGCAAGGGCAGTGAAGGTGTCGCTGTGACTGCAGTCTGCAGAGCTCTTCAGCAAGTCACATTCATCATTCACTTTGAATCATGTCTATAGCAAAGCTGTGTCGAATAGATGTGTCCTTTTCATGTTTTGACCAGTTTTTTTTTTTAAAAAAAACAAAAAAAAACATTTGTTCAGTTCAAGGATTTATTGCCTTTTCCAATCCTTTTGTAAGAGGGTGTAATCAGTAATCTTCACCTTCCTCTCTGACAGGTGGGTGTAGTTCAAGAGCCTTTTACAGAGAGAGCTCAATGTACAGGCTTGCATCAGAGAGACGAGGGGTTGAGAAATTGCCACTGACTGAAAACTATGGCTGTGCTTTTTGGAGGGAGGCAGGTGTATTTTAAAGTGAGCCATAAAACCTATTTGTTGCTGTATTTATATGATGCACTGAACTCCCTCAGCAGATGTGGCCAACCGCCTTTATCCTTGAAGCA